TAAAAGGTGCTTTTTGCTGTTGTTAAGTGCTGTCGACTCGGTTCCAACTCATAACAGCCCTGTACAGGGTTTCTGAGGAGTAGTTGACGAGCTTGAACTGCCAACCTTGTGGTTCAAACCAACTTTACAGTTCAGCGCATTAACCCGCAGCGCCACACAAGGACTGTCTCCTCCAGGAAGCCTGTTTCATTATGTGGGAACGGTCTGTCTCCTGTATATGAGCCCAGGGGAAGAGGCGGAAGTGTAGATCACAGAGAAGAAGAACGTTAGCAAACTGTTGGTTAGAACTGACTAGACAGAGAGACAGTGTGATTCATACACTTCCCTATTTAGGGAGCAGGTTGCTATAAATAGGAGCCTGGTGGTGCTATGGGTTAGGCATTGGACTACACTGGGCAATTCAAACCCACTAGGTGCTCCTCAAGAGAAAGAGGAGATGGTGAATAACTGTTTTCAGGACTGATTGTGAGGGTTGGCAATCTAAAGATGGACATTTTGTAGCAAAGAGGGGAGGGATTAATTTATCAGTCTAGGAGCGGAGGACCCTGGGACCATCAATGGAGAAGAGCAAAGAGCGGAATCCTACCCAAAAAGGCAGTGAGGCCTGGGATGGAGGCAGAGAAGACAACGTCAAAAGATGGTGGGGCTGGGGGCTCGGGATCAGGAGATGGAAAGGGGCTGAGAACTGTGGTGTTGGGGGAGCGTGCAGGCTTACAAGGTGCACCCCTTGATTGGGTGAGGATGCATGGACAGAATGATAACTATACCAATGATATGATGGATGATGGAATGAATGTAAAGCTGATGTTCTCCCATGTAGACTATCACACAATTCACAATAAAACATTACAAAAAAAAAAAAAGAAGAGAGAAAGATGAGGCAGTCCGCTCCTGTAAAAGCTTTACAGCCTTGTAAACCCTATAGAGCAGTTCTAGTCTGCTCTACAAGGTCATTGTTGTCGTTGTCAGGTGCCATCGAGTCAGAACCAACTCATAGCGACCCCATGCACAGCAGAATGAAACAATGTCGATCCTGGGCCAACCTCACTACCGCTATCACACTCGAGTCCATCAATGATGCCACCTGGCCAATCCATTTCATTAGGGGTCTTCCTCTCTTTCTCTGACCCTCCAACTTACCCAGCATGACATCCTTCTGAAGCGACTGTTCCCTCCAGACAATATGTCCAAAGTATGAGAGACGAAACTTAGCCATCTTGG